GATTCGGACCTCACCGATGATATATGTCTGATTTCCCACAAACTGGAAGATATGCAAGCGAAAAGCAACAAGTTGGCAGAAGAAGCATCGAAGATAGGACTTCAGGTGAACATAGAGAAAAGAGAGGTGATGAAGATTCCTGGGCAACACCACCAACAGACAACAATCAGCATAAATGAGAGGAACCTGAAAGAAACAACCTCTTTTACCAACCCATCTACTTGGGAAGCGTCGTTTCAACTACAGGTGGAACTGACGAGGATATCAAAGCAAGAATCGGAAAAGTAAGACAAGCTTTCACTACTCTCAAGTCTGTGTGGAGGTCAACAGCACTCAGCATCAAAAATACGATCCGGATTTTCAACTCCAATGTGAAGTCAGTGCTACTATACGGATCAGGGACTTGCACTGCGTGTCATAAAGAGCATCTCAAAGAAACTACAGACCTTCATTAACAGTTGTCTTCGCTCAATACTCAAGATCAGGTGGCCAGCCAGAAAACATCAGCAACAGTGATCTCTGGGAGCGAACCAACCAGGAACCGATTGTGAAAGAAATAGGTAGGAAGAAATTGAGGTGGATTGGCCATACTCTGAGGAAACCATCAAGTGACATCACTAGACAAGCCATTGCTCGAGTGGAACCCGAAAGGGAAGCGGCGAGTTGGTCGTCAGTGAGAGGGTGACTTGGAGGAGGTCATGTGAAGAGGAGATGAAAACGTGTGGGCAGACTTGGAGCCAGGTGAAGACTCTAGCAGAGAACCGAACGCAATGGAGACGCACGGCTGAAGCCATATGTTCCTCTAGGAATTAAAGGAAACAATAATAATAATAATATACAGGAGTTTAATAACTGCCATCCTTCAATTAAATTCACATTCATGTAGTCAGCTAAAGGTGACTATTGCAGACAACAGAGTGAAATGGAGGCTTGACTGTGTCCAGTCTCAAAGTTGAATGCATATATATGCCATTTGAAATGATGGAGAAGGCTTCTGTAGAGGTTTCCGGTGTTATTATGGTTGTGTAATTTCAGTTGGATGGTTTAATTACAAAGTTTTCATCTTATGTCAGAGGTTACCTCAAAAGAAAGTAATTTTTTGGTATTCTTCATAACACTGAACAGTGTCTCTCTCACCTGATGTACTAGAACATGAGCAGTTATCCCCCAAGGCATTTATCAATCCTGCCACTCACACTTGTATTTGTACTGATTATTACGTTGATGTGACATTTACAGGATTGATCATGAGCGGACAACAGTAAGAGAACTATTGGAAAACCACATAGGAAAATGAGGTAGTTGTTTCGCACTTGTCTGGGATTCTTCATCAGCACGCGATAACCATGGTTCTCACTCAGGACCATCTGTGTACAACAAGTCAAGCTCCCTGACCATTCAACCATTTGGACCTGACCCAATAGTCAATGAGCTACAACCTCTACCACTTCGTGGTACACATTCAGTGCAACCGCCACCCAATGTCATAAGCTGTTGAGTTTAGGACGAAACAGATACCCAGTAATCCACTACTGCATTCCAGACGTTCTTTAACTGATGTCAGTTGGTGGTCGATCCTGTAGCCGATCAAATTCCCGCAAACCAACACTTGACTGATAAATGATCGCGTTCATCATGTGGCTTGTTCTGTTATTACTTGGTAAATCTGATCTGCATTGGTGAGTCTGAGGGTCCAATCCAATAAATCTCTGTTCAGCAGCAACACGTGTAAATTATTCAATCGCTTGTACACTTATGATTGACTCAAGGAGTTAGACTTTCTGGCAGCGAAACGCGTCGACCGACAAACTGAGGGACCGTGAGAACAGATACTCACCAACGATTTTAGCTGACCGTTGCTCTCCTTCACCAGCTCGTAGAATTAGGAACTCATGGAACACTGGATTCTATACTAGGTTAATGTTCAACCGATTAGATCTCCGAACGGAGTCATCGGCACGTACAACCAAAGGGTTCTAGCCTAGGATGGAATGTCTGTTGAATACTCCTTGGTTCCCGATGGTCTTTAAGCTAATTTATTATCTACGGGATTACCTACTCGTCTCATTGTCCTGTTGCCAGCTGCTTCACTAACTAACTCTTCCAAACTGAACAGCTTTCTATTCGACATCAACCAGTCGTCGTCTAGTCTAAGCTTAATGCTCTAACGTCAAATAAACCTCTACAAATATCAGACAGTCAATTACACCTTCAGCAATTAACCTCATCTTAACGAACTCATCACTACACATGATGCTTCCAGCTTAGAGGCCAACGATTTAGACAATAAGTCAAGCAGAAAAACCCTCCTATAGTCCTATACCCCAACCTCTCTTCACCTCCCCATATCTTGTCTATTTCTACGAAAATCCTCAGTCTAACCTTCTACATTGAGAAGTTAGAACAGTTCGGAATCACTCAACCTCAACTTTTACGGTTTGTTAACTCCTCCATCTTACCAATTGCTCTTCATTGCTCCCCACAACCACACACCTTAGTCTTTCCTGGAATACCTACTCAAAAAGGAGTATGTCCTATTACACAGAGTATTAAAGGTCCTTAGCAGGGTAAGTTGTGTGCCACTTAGTCGGCTCATTACTAACAAAGTTGACAGAAACCTAAACTCATGTGAGAATCTGTCTAAATCTATACTGTCTGACTCTCAACACTCCATTCACAACTCTCACCGCTTTCCATATCATCTGGTAGGTCTGTCTAGAAGTCATTATAATAAAAGATGATATGCTTGATCGCACAACCAAGTATAATAACTCAACGATAGATAGCCCATTTGGTTCACCCCCCCCCCCGACTGCGTTCTACTTCATAAAGATAGTGTCAAACATGTGAAACTTACGAATTACGGTGTTATTGGCATCTTTTAAAAATGGGACAGTCATTCTCTCATATTTGTAATTCGATGGTGACACTTGCTATCCCCATTATCTTATAATTTTGTGTCAGTAATACTGATAATATCATTATTATTATTATCATCATAATTTTCTTCCCCTAACGCCTAAAGTTGTTGGTGTTATCAATAATAATCCTGGTCAAGTGTACCCTGTACTTCTGCTGCTGTTCTTTCTGTTATGTGGATTAGACGCAATTATTGTACAAAATGCTGAAATCTTCACACTGTTTTGGAATAAAGTAAATCATCATTATTATTGGGTAATTGCATCATCACTCCAGCCATTCATGAAGAATTCTAGAAAATACCCTAATCAAATCAGGAATTTGAAGTGTTGCTTAGATGACAACGGATGCCTAAACGAAGCAGACAATCAAAGCATCGCAATTGAAACACACCAAACCTCTAGCTCAGAGAAAACAAAAACAGAAGAAAAATCTTTTCTTAAAATATGTGATTTTCACTCTAACAACTAGTCTAAATATCCGTATGAAGGTGTGAAATATATATATGCAGAGTGAAGTGGCTTGCTGTACCATTTTTTACCTAACTAGTGCCGAAATCCTGAATCCAATGAAATCCCTGCAAGCCAACACTTGAGTATCACAATCTGATGCTCACTAGAGCAACCGGCCTTATTCAGATACGTACTAGCTACCTGGTTTCCAGTGGGAAGTCATGACCGGCATGGAGTGGTCGTCGCACGATATCCTGAATAGGCAGAAGTTGGAATTCCTCATGGGCTGGCCATTGGATGCGGATTCAGTAGTTTAATGGTCTACGAGCTAGCTCGTCGTCTTGTAACCAACCAATGTGGTAGGTGCGTTCTGATGGAGAGTCGCAAACTACAAAAAGAAACAGCTGTCCAGTACTTCTCTAAGTAATACCATCTCATAATGAAATTCCGTAGCCAATCAATCAAATCCCCGCAAACTACACTTGTTTTTGCAACTAGACCTCATCAGCATGTCGGTGGTAGAACGCTCGCCGACTCCGTGATCCCCGGCCGACATACTCATAAACCTCGGTGACCCGGTAAGTAAGGTCGGTAAACAGTGGGGGGGGGGCTCAGCATGAGGCTAGCGAACTCACCCCACTGCTACTGAAACTCCTAAGCTCTCTGGCTTGAAACCATATGTTCCACAAGGAGAGTAAGGGAATAAAATAAAAATAATAACAGAAAGATCTCATAAGGCTTAACTCTTCGACACACCTACATAACTTTGCAAATAAGTAATAAAATATGAACCAATCACGGTCATATCATCGTTAGAAGGATCATAAAACTGTGCAATTAGTCATAATAATAATAACTGAACTTTAGATTTTCCCGTCAATTGAATGGATCGAAGTACTCGGTCTCAGGATGACATGTCTGAGCATTTAATTAGAATTTAATTGGTGAATGGTGACTAGCAGTGGAATCCAGGATGTGCATTTCGTCCTATTCAGGACTCGACATTTGGATGTACCTGCATTCCCAGTGAGTGATGATGTTCCCAACACTGAAGGTCGAACCCAGTGTCCATAGTTTCAAAGCACCAAAGCGTTATCCACTAGACCACTTGGGCCAACGACGCCAGGACATCGTCGAAGCATCTGCAAAAGAAGCCGACATACATGTCAACCTGAGACCGAGCACTTCGGTCCAATCAATCGACGGGAATATCTAAAATTCAATTAAATAATGAATATACCCCGTTGCATAAGAGGTGGCTCTCGTGGCCCAAGTGGTCTAGTGGATAGCGCTTTGGAGTTTGAAACTATGGGCACTGAGTTCGAGCCACGGTGGGAACATCATTACTCACTGGGAAATGCAGGTACATCCACTGAGTCCCAAACAGGACGAAATGCGCATTCTGGCTGAATTTCACTGCTAGTCACTGTCTACCAATTAAATAATAATAATTGTGTCAACAACAGATGTGATGAAAAAGCCAAGCGTTCCTGTGATAACAACAGTAATGATAATTACAAGTTGTGTGACGACCCCTGCCTCCCTCTCTCCCCCCCACTCACCTACACCACTTTATCCCAACCACAGATGCGTTGAAAAACACCATGTGAGATAAAAAAGTATGAATTATAAAGATAGAAAAGAGAAAAATCACATAGCACATAACACCACACATACATACGCAACATAAAGGGCTCTTCATCAACAGTCTATTAAGATGAAACTATGAAGGAAAGTATATGGTCATATAGAAAAATAATCAACACGTGTATATGAAAGATTATGACGATTTTGGAATATCTGGTCGTGTCACTGCTGTCCGACCATCGCCAGCAGTGGACACTGGTGCATGTCCAGCGCGTATAGGTTTAGCGATTTGTGATTGACCACGACGTCCAGTGATATTCCGTTGACGGACAACCTCTTTAATACGTTCTACTTCAACTTGATAACGTTTACGATCTCGCATAGCTCCTTCCTTAGCCTCCTTCAATGATACCTCTAAGCTGCGTACACGCTCCTGAGTACACTACAAGAAAGAAAGAAAACATGACAAAATAGGCGGCGATATAAGCATTGATGGATTTCTCATCTGTATTATTAGAATGCTTGTCAGTGAAAAATTGTCCTCAAACAGTAAAAGTATCTGTGTCCACAGTTCCACAGCCCTTCACTTATGCCGCTATGAACAATCGTGAGATCAGGAGATTCAATTTCTCGTAGATCAATTTCACCTATCCACTAATTTCTTCACACATTATTATTATTCACATGAGACTTCAAACACTCACTTCCCTTTCAAATTTAATGATGACTACATTGCAATTTTTATCACAAGCTAACATCACTCAGAGAACCATTGGAGAACCCGAGAGGGGGGTTGTTCCACCCCAACTTCGGATTATTCAGCAGTACGCACCCATGATCTACCAATCACAAGTCAAGCTCACAGACCACTCAGACACTGGGATCGAATCCACTGCTACATGAATTCTAACCTCTTCCAAATCGTAATTTTACCGCGACTGTCACCATCCAATGTCATCCATGGCCAGGATTCGTCCAGTTACTAGTGATCAGAAATAAATGGTCCTGAGAGTTGGAACACCAATGGATGCGTACAGCTGGACAGTCCCAAACTAGCTAAAACAAAACAACTGTCCAGTACACTACCCTGGTTTCCCAATGATTCGTTAACTCGTGTCAAACTTCAAACAAATCAGATCTCTACAAAATAACTCCTGAACATGACTACATTATTCCTCGAGTGACACTGAAAACTACAGCGTCAGTCAAGACCAGTCAGCACAAAGCATATACACTAACAATTACTGAAAGACAGTCTACCTCTCTAACACTTAATAACATCAACTCCAAAAGTACTAAGGTATGTATATCGACAAAAAATTAAGACTTCCCACGATGCTACTAGCCACCCAGCTGCTCAGGTTGAATTAGGCTCAGGGCCAGGTGACTGGCTGGCTGGTTGCATTCAAGTTGTTGCACCCATCAACCTCCTGATCAACAATTATGAGGCAGGCTACGACGTACTATCCCGATGGCGCCGCAAATTCTTGCTTAGATGGCTCAAAAATTACTTTCAATGATGTACATCCACCCATATTTTTGTAATCTATCAAGGATCCATCAGTGTCGATGTAGTCATTCCTCCTATCACACATTTCAGTTTGTTTATGCGTACATCTAGGAAGTTTAGCCAGTTGGAACTGTTGCATTTTGTACAGTGATGATCTACGTTGAAAACTCAGTTCAGATCAGTTCACTACTTTTCTAGATTCCATATTCACAATATTCCTTGATAACACATCAATTAGGTGTCAGGCATAACTAACTAACTGACTAACACGGTGAGAAGTATGAATCAATTCGCTCATCTGTTGTAGGCCACACATCTGCTATCTCGATGGCTATCGCTTATCAGATAGAGGTACAGCTACATAAACAAAGTCTTGATAACATGTCTGTGTGCTTCACAGACGATCAACGACTGACTGACTGACTGGTTTCAACATAAAACTAGCTCAAGTTGCCACTCTCCCTCCATGTAGCACACAAACCAAGATAAGAGAGTAAAAAGAGAGTCATCAAAAGACAGATAGTAAACAGAAGTGTGAGCTAGGTAAAATGAATAGTAATGTGGAAGAAACACTACAGTTTTGTTCGATATGACAAATTATAAAGAGTGAATGCATCTGAGCTAGCCATCACTGAGAACGAAGATTTCCAGTCATACCACCAATTGTCTCCAGCCATCACTGGTTCCTACCATCCCGAGGACACCAACCAGACAGCAGTCCACCATCCCTACTAACTGTTGTGGATTTCGTTGACTAACGAAGACAGGTTTTCTCGTTTGACCATCACTGCCTCTTTTCCAACTTGATCCATCATATGTCAGCGGCTAACACTACCCGTCAAGGAAGACGATTGGTGGCTAGACATTCGTAACACATGTCCTAATCATCTCAATCGATTTAGCTTCACAACTTCGGAGACTAATTCTACCTCCTTAACTAGAACTCAACTTCCAACCATAACATTACTTGCCATATTATACCAGCTAACAGCGGCGGAGACAGAACACAGACACCTACGATCAAAGACAACTAACCGGCCTTTTCATGTCTTCCACATCCAATGACCATATCTAACTCATCACAGCTGTAAATTGGCGGCTAATGTCAAACGAGCCCTCTCCATGATGATCATCGACATCACTCTAATTGGCAGTAGTTAGAATTCATAGATGGTGACTAAATTCCATCGCAATGGCTGAATGGTCCCGAACGAGGTCGCCTCGTTATTTCCAAGGCCCTAGATGCATAACGAAATCCCGATGCTTATGTCAGTTAGTGGATGAAATCAACAATGAAAAGTCTGTTTTTCATTTAAAGGACAAGCTAGAGAAAAGGTAATGATAATTACTAACCAACTAACTAACTAACTAACCTCAAGACGTTTTTCCGTTTTGGAAAGTTGACAACGTAGCTCTGCATTGTCATGTGCAAGTTGTTTATGCAATTTAGTTATTTTTTCAAGATTGCCTTCAAGGAAGGCAATTTTCTCTCTTTGAGCCGATGAACCAGCTAGACCTGGTTCATCGTCATCATCATCTTCCATGAATATAATTTCGGAGATTTGTTGTTGTTGACTGGCCATATTACCGCCTTGCTGGTTACCTGTAGCTTTTTCAGCCGCTGCCATTGCATTCACACAATTTGCAGACTAAAAGAGAAATAGGCACATTTAAAATAACTAACATGGAATTTTACACTTGAATCCACAGTGTTCAAATCTTATAAAACTATATATACATGAGCAATCATCAGACAATCAATAATGTAAAAAAGTGCGGTTGAATGCCCACCGACCACGCCTCATGTGGTACGGGGTTCGATTCCCGGTCACAGACACACTCCTTTACCTCCGTAAGCCAGTAATAAGACTGGTAAAGAGGGAGGTTGGACATGAGGCTAGCAACCCCATCCTGTAAAAGTAAACACCACTGCTACAGAAACTTCAAACCTCTAGCTTGGAGCCCCCTATGTTCCACTGGGAACGTAAAGGAACATATTTGTGAGAATCCACTTACCCAAGACGAGTTTCTCAGTGTAACAGGACATCAGCCAGATCCATTAGCAGAATCAATTAGGTGGAGGGGGATTACGACCCCAGAGTCCACAGCTCAAAGTAGAATCCTCTCAAACCAACAATCAGCTACACTACAATATGAGACACAAATTCTTCCACAGTTGTTTGACGACTGCTTCACTAAACATTATAAATAGTCCTCAAGGTAGATACATTTTGGTAGGTCTTTTGAGGACAGATTACATTTCTTAATTAAAAAAATAAGTCACCAGTACTTCGACTGGACACAAGGTAGCAACTAAAGTGTCTGCAACAAACCGAGGACTCGACGCATGACACTAGTTACTGGTGTAAGTGCAGAACTTGAACACCGTAGTAGGATGTATTTTGATATTAAATAGGTCCATTTCAAATATCACACCGTGATGCAGTATTGATTAATAACTGAATGACGTTTGCTGCGAGTAAGCTGATATGATTATGAGTAGCGATTTGTGCTCAAAACGTCATCCAGTTATTAACACTGCAATCACTCTGTGATATTTGCAATAAACTTATCTAATGTGCAATTAGTTAGCACCTACTGTTCAACCAAACCATCCATCACAGTCCTAAAGGAGGTCGATCGCCAGCAAGAATAGCTCAGCTGTAAAGTGTGCCACTGCAGCATCCGGTTACACTCTCAGAGGGGATATGAGTTCCTTCACGAGAGACTGAGGATACGCCTTGCTGATGAATGGTGATAAGCACCAAACCCACGTCAAGTGCTTCTCGCTCACCACCTCCAAATCGACAGGGGATGAAACAGCACACCTACAAGTGTACTTTTAACGTCTAAATTCTAAGGAATAACCTACTGACATTCAGACAGTCAGATTGGCATCATCAACCTACCGCAGTAGATGACCTGCATCACAAAAGAAGCTGCCCTCCTCATGAGCAAATCAGGGTCTACCAGTTGAGTTGCATAAGCTAATTATACTTCAATGATAGATGAAAATCTATTGTTCCCGTCCTCTTCAATCCTACAAAACATCCATCCCAACTGACTCCATCCATAGCCACCACACTGGTGTATGATGCAGCAGAGAGACAATAACATGCCACATTTACAACTTATAAAACACATTCACAATATCAATCAAGAAAGATAGGGATTATCATTTCTCACATATCACAAACCTTTTTAGCTCGTCTACTAAGATATTGAATGAATAATCGTCGTAATTTGTGTAGTCTGTGCAATTCTATGATGACTGTCTCTTCCAAACCACGTAGATCTTCTTTAGCCTGTTCACGTTTCTCAGCTGTCTTCTCGAATGTGTCTAGTCGTTTCTCCTTTGTCTCCAATTCTTCACGTAACTGTTTCACCTCCTCTTGTGATTTCTCGGATTGGAATTTGAAATTATTGAATTCACTGTGAATGCATAAAATATAGAGTTAAAATAGAAGTGAAGAGAAATGATGTAAAAGTTAAATAGGCTGATTTTGTCTTTAATTGATACTACCGTCTCATTACTTTCACTATGAACACACACACACACACCATTACTGTTATTCCAACTTTAGTCTTACTCAAAGGCCTGGTACGTGATGTCACCCAGCGGTCTCCTTCAGTGTGTGTATGCCGACGACCTTACTGTGTCATTGCCAGCTGCTTCCCTAACTAACTCTTCCAAACTGAACAGCTTTCTATCCGACATCGGCCAGTCGTCTAGTCTAAGTTTAATGCTCTAACATCAAATAAACCCCTCCAAACCCCTTTAGCAATTAACCTCATCTTAACGAACTCATTACTTCACACGATGCTTCCAGCTTAGAGGCCAACGATTTAGACAATAAGTCAAGCAGAAAAACCCTCCTATAGTCCTATACCCCAACCTCTCTTCACCTCCCCATATCTTGTCTATTTCTACGAAAATCCTCAGTCTAACCTTCTACATTGAGAAGTTAGAACAGTTCGGAATCACTCAACCTCAACTTTTACGGTTTGTTAACTCCTCCATCTTACCAATTGCTCTTCATTGCTCCCCACAACCACACACCTTAGTCTTTCCTGGAATACCTACTCAAAAAGGAGTATGTCCTATTACACAGAGTATTAAAGGTCCTTAGCAGGGTAAGTTGTGTGCCACTTAGTCGGCTCATTACTAACAAAGTTGACAGAAACCTAAACTCATGTGAGAATCTGTCTAAATCTATACTGTCTGACTCTCAACACTCCATTCACAACTCTCACCGCTTTCCATATCATCTGGTAGGTCTGTCTAGAAGTCATTATAATAAAAGATGATATGCTTGATCGCACAACCAAGTATAATAACTCAACGATAGATAGCCCATTTGGTTCACCCCCCCCCGACTGCGTTCTACTTGATAAAGATAGTGTCAAACATGTGAAACTTACGAATTACGGTGTTATTGGCATCTTTTAAAAATGGGACAGTCATTCTCTCATATTTGTAATTCGATGGTGACACTTGCTATCCCCATTATCTTATAATTTTGTGTCAGTAATACTGATAATATCATTATTATTATTATCATCATAATTTTCTTCCCCTAACGCCTAAAGTTGTTGGTGTTATCAATAATCCTGGTCAAGTGTACCCTGTACCTGTGTTGTTCTTTCTGTTAAGTGGATTAGACGCAATTATTGTACAAAATGCTAAAATCTTCACACTGCATGTTAAGTACTACTTTGGTATAAAGCAAATCAGTGGCATTAATGGTATTCACCTCCATTTCTACTACGGTATATATGTGGTGAGCAGTAGGTTGACAATTGGTTGGTTGGTCGCCTTCCAGACTTCTTAGTTTAGGCCTCCTCCTTTCCAACCAGCTGACCTTAAGTATTCAAGTGAAGGCAGTCTCTCAAGTCTACTGGAAGTACTTTTCATATGATAACGTGTGTGCCGAATTTCTGAAACACACAGTACAAGTACTGACACTTGACGCTATTGTTGACAATTCGAGTTTGTTTGTTTGCTTTTCTTTTTCTTGTGTGTTGTGGCTCTCTACACATCAATTTCACCGTAAGGAAACCCTGTCCTGCTTCTCCAGCATAATCACATTTTTCCAATGGTGCTGTCTGTAGTTGAAAACGATGCTGTCCAGGCGATAGCGCGCATAATGCTCTAACTAAATAATTATGCGTACAAAACGTCAAAAATATTTACATATTTGGTTTTAATCCTTACGTGTGTCTACCTTCTCAGACAAACCGAGCAGACTGAACTGAACCTTTCTGTACAGTTTCAAACAATAAGGAAAATATTCACTGGGATGAACATGAACATTATCATGATCATTATCGGAGCAAAGTAAACCCAATAACATCAAACTATCGCGTTCATTACGACAATGATACGACCTGTGGACATTCGGTACATGCAGTTGTTCACTAGCTGACAGACAATAAGGCAACATTCCGTGCTAAAAGATCACAATTAATATGCTCTCACAGTATACATGCTGGTTGCTGATTTGAACACACTTTTCACTCAGATAGGCTGTTGAATGACCTAACACCAACCCAGTGATTCCGTGAAGGAAGGCCTCCAATTACCACTCACAATTCGACAGGTTGAAATAGAGATGAGGAACTATGGGTTGAAATTCGACTAGGTCTAGTCAGTGGACCACATCTCCACAACACACACCTATCAAGAAACAGACAACTTACTCCTTGTATTCCTCCAGCTTCTTCTGTTTCTCGTCTAATTCATCACGTAGAGATTTCATCTGTGCTGCATAATACTCTGATTGTCGTTTAAACTCTTCATCTAATTTTGCTCGTAACGCTGATTGGTCAGCTATTATTTGTGCATTTTGTTGACCAGATCCGGTGATGAATTGTTCATTAGCGCGTAGTTTTGCCAACTCCGCATTTAAGCTATCCACTGTCTCCTGCAATTGACGCTTACGTGATTCTGACTCGTCAATTTTATCGCTTAGGGTGCCAACTTTCACTTCAGACTTAGGAGAAAAAGAAATCAGAAAGGCATATCAAAAATGAAAGAATTCTCAGAAATAACATTCGATTAACACCTATCTAAATACAAGCGTTATTTAAGTCGAGTGTCAATGACAATAAATGTCTACCACGCAACAACCAACCAGCCAACTAACCAACTGCATATACACTATCGATGGTGGCTTTTTTTGGCTTCCATCGTTATCAGTGCACACAGAGTGAAGAGGAAGTGAAGAGCCATCAAGTAGAGGAGTTGCATTAGTAGAAGGAAGGCAAGATAATAGAGATGAAGATGGAGACAAATATGAGTGAGGATTGGAGAGGTTTCGCGTGCATTTCGGATTGTGAGGGCGATTGTTACTTCCTGGCTGCCCACACCATGGAAGTTGGTTGCGTGACCGCAGAGCCCAGGGGACAACTGCTTGAGGCCGGTCACACACGGCCTGTTTTTGTTTGTTCTGCATATACACACCGTTTATTGGCAATGAGAGTTACACATCTACTGCAGTGTCAGAGCTTATACATACTCACACACACCTAAATGACCAAATTTTGCCAGGTGTGAAGGAATTACAGCCCGTCAAACAATGGTTAACGGTTGAACGACTAAACCCCCAATGAGTAACAGGTCGGCTGTATAAACAAACTTCTGCATAGTCACCTTCAATTTAACTCTTGAACACACCGTATTCTGCTAAATTCTCAACAGAACAGACACAGGAACCGTTAATCCTCCTTTTATCAATCACTTATATCCTTGTGCGATGAATGCAATGTTCTCCTTAAATCACTGAGCTACACATATACATTCCCCCCATCCAATCAAAGTTGCATAAACTACGTTCCACTATCATCCATCCGACTATGTCCTTGAACAACTGAGAAATTCAGTAAAGTGGATCTCGTTCCATTTATCAATCAGACAGATATATTTACATCCCTAGACCTCCTTTATTAAAACTTGATACCAGTAGCTAATGTCTCAAATACCTTGAACACATTCATTGGGCTAGTGAGTCATGATAATAGCTTCATCTTTCCCAAAACAGGTGTCAGCTCGTCACAGAATTTTATTTTAATTTCCCATTTGTCTTAACATAGAATAGATCAAATTGAGCGTGTTTTAAAACGTATTCTTATTCAGTTACCTGAAACAAGTCGCATATGTACACCGCACATATAGAGGTCACGCTTATTTTGAGCATATGAGAGGAACACAAGGAGAGAGAAAGATGGTGACACAAACCAGTTGCCCTCAGGGCTGAAGAGTAGATAGAGCGGAATTATAATCCGGCACCTGTTACTGGCAAAAAAGCAAGTGATTAAGCCAACCAACCACGATGTATCATCTGTCCACCATACCTCAATACTTGACAACTGGCCTTCATTCCGACTGAACTATTATTATTAATCAACTGCATGTATCTACACATTTGTCGATGGACGGAGTCCGGAAAAGCGACAACTTCACCAGTCTATAACATCAACATCTTACCAGTTAGTAGGAAAACAGAAAAGTGACAACGCATACACAGGCACACAAACACATACAACCACATGTCACTCATCATAAAAATACAACATATATACTTGACTTACAGCATGAAGTCGTGTTCGAAGATCTTTACATTTATCGTCGCTCTTACGCAATAACTGTACATGTTGTACACGTTCCTCTTCCAATTGACGTACACGTGAGTGCAGTGATTTCGCCTCACTTTTCATCTTACTTATATACAAACGAACAAAAGCAAACTCTTCATCTAATCGTTCAGAACTAACAGATGGTTTCTGATGTCGTCGTCGTCGTCAACAGAAAACAAAAGAAAGAAAGGCAAAGAAAAAAAAACGAGAAATTGTAACCAACTGTCGGAGTAGAAACAGTAAATCAGAGAGTAAAATTAAGTTTTATGAACTGACTAGTCATTTCAGAGAGTAATCAATCCCACCGGAGAGGATTTAGGTTCAACAGTCTATTTAGCCCCATGATGACATCTAATCCTACCCGGTGAACTAAACAAGACAATATGAATTACAACAAGTCAGTGGAAATTAATATATGTGTAAAATTTGGGCACTGTGATAGTAAGTAATAATTACATATTAGTTTGTTTATTAGGTATATATCACACAGTGAAACAGTATCATTATTATCCAGTAATTAATACCGTTCGTGCGTTATTATTCATTTGAGTGCGATCCGAGACGTCACTAGATAATGATCCATCCCATGATCTTACTTCATATTATTTACTCCACTGATGTAGTGTAATGTGGCAACAACGACTTCATTATTTATTTTTTTATTTTTATTTTGGTTACAGCTTGATGACATACCGTATTTTCAGTACAAGTATGGAATTTTCAGCATGTTATATCGGTAGCCCAAATTTTGCAGGCCGACCAGAGATATCGGGTGTGCGTCGGCGGGGGATAGAACCTCGGACCATGTGCATGGTCGGTGAGAGTCCTAACCACCGTGCCACCGACGCACCATGTCCTTTTGCGAATAGGCCAGATTCTATACGACGATAATACGCTCATCCCGGGATAGTGAACTTATAAAAATAGTGTATGCGCCATGATTACTTCCCTACCCAGACCGCTCACATCCTTAGAATAAGAACCCATTCAATAATAAAACAAAATTGATAAATACTTTTAAACCTACCGTGATTTGATCATTCAAGCATTCACCAACATCAATTAGATCCTTCAACAGGCTAGACATCATTTCAGTATATTTCTTCTTCTGATTTTGATGCGTATCCTTCAACTGCAACAATTCACCGTCTTTACTATGCATTAAACGGGTTTGTTCTAGCAAGGACTCTTGAGTCTCTTCAAGTTCTTTCGCTTTTGCATCAACCTCTTGAGCCTTTTGGTCATAATTTATTGCTAATTCTTCTAAGGCTTGCAGGACTTCCTTCATTTCATCTTTGCTCGACTGGTATTCAGCCTTGACACACACACACACACACACACAATGAGTGAAGAAAAAGATCCATTTAGAGGAAACATTTCACAAATATAACAAAACTGTCAGCATAATAATTCTATCAATACAATACTATGTGAGTTATGTAGACTTCGCTAAGTATTTTTCCTACAGAGCAGACGGGGTGAGAAGGGAGAGAGGATGCAGTAAGGAAGAAACTGGATAACTGACACCACCTAAAATAGAGAGATTAGTGGATGAACAGAATCCAAGTTGCTGGTTGTCAGAAACGAGTGGCAGTCATCATGTGCTTTAGAAAGAAGAGGGAAATAACTTCAGTACTCTAATACTTGCCGATTCATCATAATTATGAAACGGTTAGACTTAAGACAAACACCTATACTCAGTCTGAAAGTTTCTACAATGTCTTTCCACATTTCATCTATTTATAGCCTTTCCCAATTTAGTGTGTAAGAACCACCTGAGTTCAGTAATTTCACTCATCCACTATGAATGATGAAAACTCATGCCTACACCATCATCATCTTTACCAGTGAAATCAAACCACAGTTGTTCTACTACTTCTACTACTCTTACCACTGTTACTGTTACTACTGCTTGAAAGTTCACTAGAATAAGCAAACAAAACAACATGCACTCTGAGGAGGAAGAAAGCACTTTAGACCAGTTCACATAAAAACACATGAGAGATTCACTGCAAAAATAATTTCTAAAAAAACCTCTTGACAATATGACAGGAAAACACTATTATATCATTAACTAATATCAAACACCACTTTAACAAGAAGCTCATCTGAAACAACAGTCACAAGAACATATATGCCCATCACATAGTATTCACATTCAATGAAAAACAAGGATGCAACTGGAGCTCATACATTTTATGTACTCACTCCACTACCAGCCAGTGGGTAACGCGCTAAGAACCTCACTTTTCCTACAGAGGGTTTGGGCAACCACTAACAAGGCACCAGTGGTACGATTAGTGCTCACATACAATAGGTGTGACTCATCGACAACTTCGTCGAAATCCAAGTGGCCATTGAATCTTGCCTTCTCTCAACCTCCACCCACCGCCTTCTACTCTCCAATGAAAAGCAACACAACGGACCTCAGAAAATCTACCAAATGATAAAAGCAGTTAATTATAACGGCTAAAATGTATCACCTTTCAATACACTTCCATGGATATATAAATTTATATAAAGTTCATAACATGTATTACCACTTACCTGAAGAGTTGTAATTTCTTTTAATTGTCCCTCACGTTCTAAACGCAAAGAATTGTTCACCACGTCTTGCTCTTCAATTTGCTGGTGAAGACGCGATATTGTCTCAGCCTGTTTAGTTATTTCATCATCTCTGTCGTCAAGTTGTTGATAAAGCAACTGTAACTGTTCATCTCCAACTTTCCTTGCCGAAGCCAAACCAGCTCCGACAGTTTTACTGCCCGGAGTGTAGGCTGAGAGAAAAACAACACACAATGATCAACATTCTACATAGTATTTATGATACGACAAGAACGTGTAATATCTCATGGTTTCAACAAAACAAAACAAAATTAAAAAGAAACTGACAAATGATCAAATACATTTCGATAACTTCGCATACCAAAAAAAAGCCAAGGCAAGCATACAATCGGAATGGAATAACCACTTCTGAGTTGTAACAACACATTCTTGGTTGCCAAAATGCCATCAGTTCACTCAGAAATACAGACAAACAACAACCACTCAGTCAGTCAAATAGTTAAAACATTAATTGGTAAGCTTACTCGGTGTAGAAGATACTCCCTGTTTGAATTACAGATCAAAGCACATCTCTGCACAGAAGTTTAAGTTACCGCGCCGAGTCTCTAGTCAATGATTTTCACTATTCCAAGGACCCTCAGCTCAGTCAGACGGTCTAAACACCCCCACATCTTCATACCAACAATCACTACACTGACAGAAGTGCACAATGGTCACTCAACCGTAGCCAATGCGAGACTTCCTTCAGTCATAAGCATCGATGAAAACTCATTAATCATGTACATGATGCTGTTACTAAGCTCAATGAAGTGATACTCACGTTAGTTTTGGGCTAAAAAGCTTGGTAGCAACGTTGCAGATGTCGGTAATGAGTGACGTATCATTGAAAATCACAGGCTTCCTCCGATGTTGACGGTATATCTTTCTGACGAGTACCAAGAGGTAACAGAATCAGTTGCAATGTCGAGTCACTACGCCTACTGACACCAATGTAAAAGAAACACCAATACGTCATTCATCAAACTAAATTAGGTACGGATAGTGACAGTGGGCGTTCTTAGTGCAAGCACACTGATCATCGCCAACCGCACACAACTTTCCATATACCCTCAAAACAGCTGCACATACCTGAGTAGGGCTGTTGGAATAAGTCAACATCATTTCTCAATAAGTTAGATGAAGTCAAATTCTACGTTTACGTCAAGAAATATGTCAAATGCTGGACTCTAATAAACAAGTTTGAACAGAGAGGACATGATAATACACCTTTGCCCGGAACTGCAGCCTGTGTGCTTGACTGTTTCATTTCCCCAAGTATCCTAGATGCAATATCAACCAGTCTGATCCCCCTATGATCAGCACAGGAGAAGCCTAGCCATCTACACAAATCTGAAACTATCTAAGACCCCCACACACACAATGACTAGAACACCAATTATCCCACTCCACTATTCATCACCCTCATCTTGAAACACCTGAGGAGCTATCCTGTCGGTAAGTTGACGCAATCCTCTTCGTCTTAGATCACAGAGAGCTTCTGCAACCCCAGCTACAGTTCTACCACCAATGTCTACATTGGGAAAATAGAGCTACTTTAAGTGCTAGCTTCCTCACCAACTGAGAAGAAAAATATCACTACTTCACAACATTTACAAAACATTGTGGAGAAGGGAAGTTAGAAGTCACTAGATTCACCGACTTACACAAAATTCCTCAATAACATTAGGTGAAATATGAAATGAAAATAACACACAGTATTAACACAAAGTATTATGAAAGGACAATAACCAACAGGAGACGAAATAGACTACCTGGAGATGCATTTGTGAGGCAAGTAGATCGTGGGGTAGAAGTAGAGACGCTGTCTAGCAGTGGTGTACCGGGGAAACTGGGTGTAGTTATCGAATCTCTTGTATCATCTATAGCACCAGCATATTGATTTTCCGTGAACCATTCAGCTTGGTTAACAGTTTCACCTGAAATTTAACATATAACACAGATTATATGACAACAAAAATTACGTTCAAGTCAACTTCTATATTTATGCACGATGTTCGCTGGAACTATTACACCTTTCCTCAGTCTATATACATGAGTGGGAGTGATGAATGGAGTGATTTCCTGTGACCACATTGTCACAATATAAAAATGGGATACAATATTACTCCACTAGTGATCCTAACTGCTACACGTCATTTCTCCACACTAAAAATTATAACTCAGTTTCCCAAGACGGCCTTTATGAGTTACATTTGATAGGTGAGGACTGGTGACAATAACCAGTTCCCTAGGCTAAAATAAGCAAAGCAGGCTTCTGACCCCCTCACCCATTAACTCAACTTTACATGTTTAACACAATCAGCCATACATCAACGCACATCAAGCAGATAATAAGACAACAGGATGGAAATAATCTAATCGGTCGTAAAGCAGGATAAAACGAAGAAATAGATGATAATGTAAATAGAGAAATGAGCTATTATAACAAGGATAGTCACAAACCATGAATCCACCCCTATCATCACTACGATCAATTCTGAACACTATCACCAGGAGTTTCTAGCCACAGGTTCTGATCGGCGTGCAGCTGATTCGCTTAAGCGCTCCATTTTCAGTCCACGGGTTTGGAATTCATGGCCTGTAAAATCGAATTCAGCCTGCCCAACTTGGTAGCAACATTAATTTTCACAAAATATGTGTGGCTTACGACCCGATACACGAGAAATCTGCTCTGAGCAACTCAGTCACTTTATGCTGCTGATATTTTCAATATTCCAAGTATACCCCACACCAATATCTTACTTTCCTTCTGTGCTATTTGTAAACATTCCACTCCTTTACATTCTTTATTCCAACTCACAAAGATACAACTTACAAAAAAAAAAATAAACATAACTATGATACAGAAACAGATTAAACTGGATACCGGCAACTGATTCACATACAATTTTGAATCCTTAATTTTAAAACCTTTAAGTTAAACTTAAGCAGAAAACAGTCACAGTAAATATTTCTTACCTGCTCGCCAACGTTTTAATTCACTTTCCAGATGACTTAAAATAGTGTGGGACTTGCCAACCTTCTCCTTTTCCTGCTCATACCTTCTACGCCATTCATCAGCCGTAATTTCTACGTTCACCGTTACCAGATTCTTGATAGTTTTAGCTCGCATACCGAACATTAGGGTGGACTTCGTCTCGGCATCATTGTAACCAGCAGGAGAACAACAAATCACCATAGTTGTTCGTGCATTACCTCCAAGAGATTCTTGAAGAATGCGAGTTAGTTTAGAGTCACGATAAGGAATATGAGACTGAAACAGAAAATTATTTAACAGATCAATAGCTTGATAAGGCAGTAGCAGTCATTTTCAAATAAGCACAACATATGCAGACAAGAGATTCAGGTTACCGTAGGGGTTAAAAATAACGATTTAGTGTGATGGATTCTTCTGCCTCAGAAACATACACAGCGAGCACATGCAGACAGGCATGATCAAAACACAACAATTCGGTATCTCATGCGTCATAATCACATGGAAATTCAAAGTCAACAGTGGCTAGAATACAACCACTACCACCACAACCACCTGAAAGTATAAACTTACACTTCCTTCCACGAGTGCATTGATCACATTACCAAGAGCAGAAAGTGATTTGTTAATATTTTTGGCTTCGTCCAATACAGTGCCCTCAGCGCCTGTCTTCGCAACTTTCTCACTACCAGCCAAATCAACAAGATACAGTTTCCCATGCAGTTTCTTTTGAGTTTCCAAGTTCTCTTGTCGAACATTGATCAGGAATACTGAGTGACTTCGAGAACTGTGCTCATTCATGTCTACACATAGATAAAAAGTCACAAATTAGTGTCAGCAAATAACCTCAATGTCATATAAACCACAAGATAACTTAAATTTCATGCACAGATACGTAATATTTCAATCAAACCACCAAGCCTAGCTAACAATGCTAACACTCAGGTGCTAGGAATACTCACTTGTCACGGCTACATGACGGTTAACTTTCCCCTCGTCAATGGCTTTAAAAACCTCTTCTGGAGTGGAAACAAACTTTTCCGTGACACCCTTGAAGATTCTCGTTAGGAGGAATTATATCTTACTTTCACGTAAGGAACTCGATCTTTATCTTCATGGACCTGTAGGTTTGTCTTCGAAACTGAATCAAGATATAAATTAGATCGAAAAATTTACCATCAAGCAGATCACGAATTTTTTCCATGTATATTTCAAAGTAAGAAACCTGAAGATAAGAAGAACAGCACCACAAAAATTACCTTAATATGGAACTCCAAGTTTTCATCCATTTGGTATATATGGTTGAATATATCGTGAACTATCCGCGGGATAACACCTTGAAAGACTGGGTCACCTAAAATACCCTGAGGAGAAACAATGAGAGAACAGAATGTCATACCTCCATAGTAAAAGTCTTTCCACTTGAAGTTTGACCATAGGCGAATATTGTCCCATTATATCCGTTCAACACATCCACAACAATGGGCTTGGCCACAACTTCATACACCTCCAACTGAGATGCCTTTGGCTGAACTACATGATCGAAGCTATAGTTTTTACCCTAGATAGAAGAGTTGTCACAAACTAAAAACCATCAAACATACCCCAAGAGATACAGTTGTGTTTCCATCACCGGGGAATGACACCACGAACTTGCTGTCATTTGCTTTCTCTTGTTCATTGAGTGGCCTTACACGGCATATAACCTTAATGCTCTCACTCATAGTAACGACACGCTGAGTAACTTCTCGGGAGCCCGCCAATGTCTTTGGGCAATGAGTGAGCACACAGATAAACAAAACAGAACACATGTTGAACAACATGCGTAAAGTGAGCATGAGTCAAACTGAAAGAGTGTGGGTGAATTCCTTGCAGTTTATACAGTCTCTTTTCGTTGCTCTGTCTCCTCTCCTCAGTGCCAAGTTTAAGAGACTTGGTACTCTGTTCATCAAGCGGCTATTTGTAGAATTTGGGAAGGTTGTCGTGATGGAATGCACGGTAGGGTCCCAGCTGACTACAGTGAGTAGCAATAATGATAATCTTCCATGAAATACGTATTTAGGTGTTGTGCATGCGTGATTTCAAATGGCCTCTGAGGTGGAGAATAGGATTTTCACCATGTGTAGTGGAAATGAAAATAGAAACCAATTGGGTGAAAACATCCGCAAATAAAAAGACCATAGGTATTTTTGCACTAATAGCTAGATGACAGATCTCTGTTGCATGCCATATCATAGGCTATTGCCAATCAATTACGCGATTCTCGAACCTATTTGAGCAAAAGTTAGGACTGGTGTTTGAACCTCAACTATGAGACGTGATTCGTTAGTAAACAAGAATAGGGTAGGAAAAAAATCCGTGGCTGAATGAGCGAAGGGGTGGTCGGGGAGTGAGGGAGGAATATTACATCATTCCAGGTATTTATCTTCAGTCGACAGAGAGAATGGCGAAGGGCACTAATTGTCCGATTTGTGCTCTCCATTAAACCACTCAGCCGTCGGTGGAACGCCCGCCAGCCATCTATGTGGTCAAGGGTTCTCTCCTTGGCCGACGCACCCCTTTGCCTCGCTATGCTGGTAATAAAACTAGTGAAGATGGAAGGTTGGGCATTAGGCTAGTAACTCCACCCGATAAAAGCAATTGTCACTGGTACCGAAACTTCAAAGCTCTAGATTGAAGCCCTGCTCCACTGAGAACGTAAAGGAATCAAAAACCTAAACCACTCCCGACTGAGTAATAAATAAATTTATTCTCATAGTACAGTACATGAGGGACGCCAGTTTACAGGCATCATCAAATTGTCACAGAAATAGAACCATATAATTCAATCACAATTTACAGGCAGTAGCAAGATATGCTTTACATGTTCGCTGGAGATTATACATACACTTGATAAATGTTAATCCCAGTAGTATAAAACAGCCTTTTCACTCATATAGGATCATTTCTGTGCAAAGTTGGAAAAATCTGCTAGATTGTCAGTGAGTGCGACACAACAGGAAATACAGAAGTATTGTCTTCGCATTAACAAAAAACCAGGTCTTTGGTGGATGGATTATAAGTGCCTGGGAAAAAAATAAACCTTGAAGTCAATATTCATACATAACTTTGTTGTGTGCAGAGTCCTCGAATTATAGTTCATTGATGTGTTATTTTGAAATCAGTGATGTGTTTATCTCATTTGATCTGCAGTGTCATTGTTGGGAGTAAATATGTAAGCTTCAGACGCATTTATTAATGGATTTCTACTGCTTGTGGGTATTTTCTTAGCGTTAGGAAGGTTTATGAATTTCAGCTGTTCCGACAGGAGTTGAGAATATTAACTGCTCAGCAACATTATGAATATAAGTTCATCACATTATCTAAGGAAAGGTGGGTTGCAGTTGGTGAGGGATATACGGTGCCCAACGAGCGTACATCTGTCCATGTGATGTTGTGGTGAGTTATACCTTTTTCATGTTGTCGGTTTATGTCCATTTTATTCCACTTATTGTGTTGGGTAGTAGTTTTACAAACGAGATTTCTTGTCTGTTCGAGGATAAGCAGCCATGTGGGTGGAACGCAGTCATGCGGAAAGCACTGCAGACGTTAGTGATAATTTGGACCCTAAAGAGGACACTGCGGTTACAGTGTAGTGTTCGAGGAGTCCCGAACGGAGAAACTCGATAGCCTCTTAAGCTCAAGATCAAGGGTGGTTGCACCGCTTCACACTCTTCGGTATTCTCGTTTCGAAGCTGTAAGTGCCTTCATGATACAAGCACCTAATCTTTGCTTCTATACCTGTGTTAACATGGTTATGAGGGGCACTCACGATGACTACGGGTGGCTTCATTCAGCTACAGATACCACAAGTGATATAACTCAGTTACACCAGGATGCAGCAGTGGCCGCCCAAAGTTTCGATGGATGACATGTTCTATCTGGTGTATATCAGCATGACCGAGTCTGCACGGAATCTGCATAACCGGCTCATCGACATTGACGTCAGCAAACAGGCGACAGGGAGGTGAGTTCGGTATCACTACGTGTGGAACCTCATTAATTAATTAGCTCAGACATGGTACTACACGTGCATCACCGCATGGCACAACTTCCCTAGTCTTTAGCAGATCGTAAGCCTGTGAGAAGATGGAGTGCCGGGATTGGATATCGACCCCACCACGGAAAGCAAATCTAAACACCACAGAAACTTCAAAGTACTGTGAAACTATCAACAAAAAGTAGATCTTGATTAGGATGTGGCCGGCTTCTGAGAGCCTCCGGAAAGACACAGCCGATTCGTCTTCTCACTATGAAGTCAAAAACAAACAACTGTGCATGAAACGCTCATACAATGTAGGAAACTATATTGCGGAATTGAAATAGTTGTAGTTGACTGAGCTGAAGAATCGTCTGTATTTGGTTTACTATTCTACCAGTAGTCGCGTTCTTTCAGACGAACTATGTAGACATACCGATGTCTCCTTCCAAGCTGCTTTTGAACCCATTGGGGCTTTTACAAGATGTAATTTCAGAACGTAGTTAGTTTCAAAGAGTGCAATATATAGTAGTGAAAAGATTGGCCCTAGTGGTTTCTCTGTGGGCTTGCAACCTTGAGAAGTTAGTCGTGGTTGCACAACCGACAAGTTTAATTATTCACCTATGTTATGGATGAGTTAACCTCGCCTAGTTCACCAGCTCACTAGTTTTCTAGCCCGTCCGAAACCCAGATATTTATATCCATGTATTTATTCCTATCACTGTTTAACACACTAGTTGTACAGGCATGGATAAGTATTATTTAAATTGCCTAAATTTGATTTATGGTGAACTTACATGTTTGCTGTCGTTCTTGTCTTTAGTTTGTGGGAACAATCTGCTAACTAGTCATTCAGTGTAGCACATCAAGAAATATGGAAATATTGTCTTCGCATTAACAGAAAACCCCAAGTATGTATTGGTGCGAGAATAAAGGATTCTTGAGTCACCAATCTGTGTTCTGGCTTTTCGCGATGGTTACTGCACATTTTTACCGAAAGTCTTCAGGGGACAGCGCTAAGTCCAATGTAGTTAGACCCTGGACACTGACATTATCTGATATCTCCTGGAATTATTCGTCGCATTAGATGGCTATTCGTCTTTCCTCGCGTCTTCAAGTTTTCTTTGGACGAGAGTTATTCGGAACTTCACTGAATCGTCTGGTAACGTTCAGTGATGCCTAGGGCAAAGAGAGGACGAAGCGTTTTGGAGGCAGACGGCAAAGTAATTTTTGATGATTTGTGTGTAATGTTGTGTCTGATGTTATAATGGATAATCATGATATACCCGCCAGAGAGATAAGTTGCTTGAAGCCTCCGAAGTTCGAGACTGAGTGGTTTGAAGGGAATCCTGCTAACTTTCCTCACTTTGTGAAAGAAATCAAAGTCATGCCAGAGGGTTTGAAACTAAGTGATGAAATGAAACTAATGCACTTGTTGAGGTATTGTGCGGGTAGTGCGGCGAGTGCAATACAGTGTTGCAAGTTTCTGCCACCTAGGGATGGATATACGGAGGCTATGCGTATCCTGCGTCAAAGGTTTGGGAGACCTTCGATGATTGTAAGGAATGCATTCGAGGCTGTTAAAGGTGATGGTAGTGAGTTACGAGATGACTCCAAGCCACTCACTGAGTTTCTGGATAATCTGATGACCCACAAGAATACGTTGGTTTTGATGAGTTGCATGAGCGATCTGAACTCGAATTCTGTCCCAGAGGTGATAGCGAGACGCTTACCTACTCGACTGCAAAGGAAATGGGTGAAGATAAGCTTTCGTATAGAGGATGAAGGTTTAGAGCCAGGGTTCGACGATATACTGAGATTAGTGACAGATAATGTCAATCAGACTGAGTAAATTGAAACATAGGTGTGAATGCATAAGACAATAATGATATGAAATGCAATTAAAACTAAAATGTTTGTGATTATAATCGCAGTTAAATGTCAAGTGGCAAAACAATTGCTGTCAAATATAGAATAATTCATAGGGTGCATAGAACTTGGAAAAGGGTGTGCAATTATAAGATTAGTAGACAAATCAGTTGTTTTGCCACTTGACATTTAACTACGATTATAATCACAAACATGTTATTTTTAACTGCATTTCATATTATTATTATTTTATGTATTCACACCTATGAGTAAATTCGTTAGTACATCGCATCCGGCTTCTGAAACTGAGAGGTCAGCGAGTAAGACAAAGTCATTTGTGAAGAGAGGTTCTCAAAGCATTGGACGTTCAGTAAAGTGAATTATCTGTGGCGACGTACACATACTTAATGAATATGCTCGTTTCTTTCAAGTATCTCTGACAGAAAGGCTACAAATTGTGAAAAGGAAACGGTTATGCTTCTGCTGTTTAAAGGCCGGGCACACAAGGCCTAACTGTGAGACAGCTGAGAATGGTGGTTCATTGGGATTACATCCGCTGTTGACAGTATCGAATAATCAGGGGAGTTGTATTAACTGTAATAGCAGTTTTGCACCGCACGACTTCCAGATGGTCTATTTAGGTGTTGTGCCAGTAAGAGTAAGAGGACCAAGGTCATGTGTAGATACACATGCGTTGCTAGATAATGGTACAGACATTACACTGATAGATGCTGAGCTGTTTATCTGCTTGAGTATTAAGGGCCCGAAACAATCCTTGGTCCTAAAAACTTTTAATTCTTTGAAAACGTTAATATGTGAACGAGTGTCATTTCAGTTGACTACTGGAGAAACCATTGAAGTAGGTGTTGCCTACACTACTTC